GTATATCCCCTGCTCCTTGGCACTTTGTTTCACTATTGAACTAGCTAACTGGCTCTAAGATTATCTCTATGGCTACGGCTTTTTAATTTCTTCCATTTATTTTGGTTCTGAAAGGGCATGTGATAAAATCAAACCTAGGATATCAGACGGCTTCTCAGAACTCAGCCGAATTGACCTGCTCCTGTAGCTTCTACCAGACTTAGGTAAGCATAGCAACAAACCCAAACACAGGCCACCAGCTTGTTCCCAGGATCCACACCAGGGAGAAGTGGCATAAACAGGAGTCACGATTGTTATCAAGTTTCTAGTCGCCTTATGTGCCCCTTCCAGACTCCTGCCTCTGTCACAGAGACTAAGGGATCAGTAGGAAGATAAGAGGCAACAGGCTTCCATAGGTTTTTCACTAGCTTCTTTTTTCTGATCTTTGAGTAGGAACAACTTGGGGTCTCCACTCATTTTGTTACAGATCTTCTTGCAAAGGACTCTAGTGTTTCTGACATTCTGTGCAAGCCTTATCTTCAAACAAATCTCTAACAATGCCTTAGAAGCAAAGTCTTCAGCTTTCTAACTAAACATGAAATTACATTTTTTAATTCACGAATTCACCCAGACCTTGTTTTATGGAACAACATGACAGATAAAGATGCAATTTCATCTGTTTTCTGATGGAGATGACTGCTTCAAGCTCATTCATTTACTGCATATTCCTCTTCCGTGGCATTCAGCTAAGATCCGCGTATGAGGTCCACTATCCCAGCAGATGCACACTGGACTAATGCAGCGACTCTCAACACTGACAAAGTCCTCTTCTCTCTGTCCTGGTGTAAATATTCTACATCCTGAACCTTTTGATTATTTGTGCATTTAGGATCTGCTCACCAGTTTTTCAGAAGGCATACCATAGGATTGGTACTACACTGAATCTACCCCCAAACAGGCAAAGTGATTGGATTTCGCACTTATTTTTCTATTTAGATATTTCTTAATAATATTATTTTATAAAATGCTAACATTTTCAACAGGTTTATACAATGTTTGTTAGATAGATTCCAAAGAATTAATATCATGTCAATATTATTTTTTTCTGTGTATTAAAGTACAGAAGAATACAATTAGCCTTTATGATCTTAGGAATTAATCCTATTTTATAATAGTATCTAGATACATAGTATCTAAGGATGCTATGCAGAATTTGAAGTAAACATAACACCTACATATAACCACAGTTTGATTTTTCTTTTGAATTAAATAGGAACTTCATTTACTTGATAGAAAATCTATTAAAAGTCTACAAGAAATCAAATATTAAATGGCTGCTTACATAATATTTTATTTAAAAGACATGAACAATAGAATGATTGCAGCAAACAGCTTAGAACAACTTCAAGTTTCAGAAATATCGAACACTAAAAAGAAAGTCTAACTCATGTATTAAAAAGCAATATTTTTCTCTTTTTATCTACACATGTGCTAAGTCTCAGTGAGATCTTTTTTGTTGTTGTTGTTTACTAATACAAGAAGTAATTTGTCTACAGAGTTCCTTTCTGAAAATGGTCATGTGGCTTCTGACATGATGTTGCTTTCTTTGTAAAAACCATGGGCCTTTTATTACTTTGTGTATGAAATAAATCTGAAAGGGCTTCATTTATGGGATGATCTAATTAATGCCTTACCTCCTTGTTTAATATAGTAGAAATATATGCACCTGCAATAATACAACCTTACTGAGCCATGAAGTCACTTTGCCAAGGACGTACCCAAAGCATCTATGCTGTCCTGATTACTGTCATATATAAATGCTCAGCTATCTAAGCTCACATTGATAAATATTTTGGTGAAACTGCCTTGGTTTACAGTCACCTGTGTCTACTCTCACTATTTCCACTCATCTTTACTAGTGTGGATTCTGCTCACTATTTCCCGTTCTTAGAGAAGCACACAAATGGTGATGTGGCATATGCTCCCTGTCTTCCTTCAAAAGTTAGTTATTTGAGATTCTTTCCTCTTGTGGCATACCCGTAATTAATTCCTTCTTAAGTTTTTATTTTTTGTTTGTTTTTGTTTTATGAGACAGTGTTTCTCTGTAGCTTTGGAGCCTGTCCTGGAACTCATTCTTTAGAGGAGGCTGGCCTGGAACTGCCTCTGCCTCCCGAGTGTTGGGATTAAAGGCGTGTGTCACCAACAGTTGGCTGATTGGTTTCTTATTGACTCTATTTTTATATACCAAAAATGAACAATTGAAAAGTAGTTTACTATCCAGAATTATGTCAAAGTAGGAAATATTGGGGGAGATTTTGGTATGTTCTACACAACTAGATATTCAAAGATTCTCAACAATGTTTTCTGAAAAGAACGTTTCAGTACAAAAGGACGACGCAGTTTTGTTCATCCTCAGCTACCAATCTCTGTCTGCACCAGAGTCTCCCGTGCTGTTGACGACTCCTATTACTGCAACTGTATAAATGGTGAAATCAAAGATTGGAGCACTCACAACTTGAAACTTGAATGTTTCTTATATGTGCTTGCATTTTTTAGATGAAATCAGGAATAACTTCTCAGTTTATAAAAAAGGTCCGCTGGCATATTTTTTTATTATATTGATCAGCATGGTAAAAAGAGACATAATACTGACATTTTGACCCATTCACACAGTATATTTCTCTAGTTATTTATATTGGTTAATTTGTTTTTCTTAACTGTTTAAGATTTCATTATTAAGTATTTTATACTTTTACCAAATTCATCCCTAAGTACTCCCTATTTTGACATAATTTAAAATCATATAGATTTTTACATTGTTCATTGCTAACAAATGTGTATGTTTATAGAATATATATATATATTCTATATATATATGTATACATAAGGAATTTTGCTAGGTTTAAGCATATTAAAATATTTTCCAATAGAAGTCATCAAAAATCAGCATAAGTTTAGTGACCAGTTAATCAATTTGCCTCCTGAGTACAATATGTTGGCATGATACACTGTAGTAATACATAAGGACATTCTATTTTCCTTGTACTATATGACAAAACTGCTAAAAAATGGTATCTATAGCAAATGCAGCTTTGGTTTGTTTGGCTTTGGAAATAGGGCTGCATACTGCTTATCTGGTTTCATCGTCTGCACAGGCGAGGACGACCTGGTGCTCCTGTGAGATTGTGTCCTGAGCGCTGGGGTTCTAGAGCGGGCTGCCACAGATGATGAGCAAGATAGCTCGTGTGCATTTTAACTAAAAAAATGCTTCAGAGTTTTAACACCAGCCACTCATAAGCAAAACAAGACATTTAAAATTACATCCACTTTGGGCCAATGATGGCTCAATGATGAAGGTGCTTGTCACCAAGTCTGACAGGGTGATTGAACCATGGATAAACTTGGGTTCTGATTCTCACAAGCTGTCCTGAGATCTTCACACACACCACATGGCACACGCACATCTACACACACACACACACAAAAAAAAAAAACTAAAATAAATTAAAATTTCTAAATATATCCATTTAAATTTAAGTTTTATGAAGTCATATGTAACAAAATATACTAAATGTACTTTATAGATGAAATAATACTATACTAAAGGGTTTAATTTAGACACACTGAGATAAGAATCTGTTTTAAAAAACAACTTTTAGTATCAAAATAATAAACACATAAACATGAAGGTACTAGAAATTTTCCGTAGGCAGTAAGGAAATGCTGTTGACACATTAACTAGGATTTAATATATGCACAGCAGCCAAACAAAACACAAAAACAAAGCAAACTACACTGTGCATATGAACACATGCATTCAACACAACATACGCTGTGTTTACCTGAATTACATGAACACAAGGCTTTATCTGGAAAACAATGTGGAGGCAATGTCAAAAATACAACTGATAGTGTTACTGGTAGAATTGTGGAAATCTCTTCTCTACTTAATACTGCAGACAATAAAATTCAATGTATTAAAAGTGTAAAACACCAAACCAATTCAGAATAAGACAGAAACTCATTATATACGAATAAAAATTGAAATTAAGTTTATAGAAATTCTGACTAAAAGTATTGCAACAGGAGCAGAAACGAAAGGAGACAGACCAAATCAGACACTCATGACGGCTGCCTGACAGCCCCTGTGGGACCACAGTTCTATGACAGAATCCTAAATGCATCTGATGACTGCTGGACACGGAGTTGCAAGCAACCAGCGAACCGAAACTGAAGGAAAAGTATTCCTCATTTTGGAATTCTGGGTTTTAAAAATGGCAAGTTTAAAGTTGACCTCCTTTTAAGAAAAGGCAAGCATTCAAAATCTTAAGGATACAATCACTTACACAGATCATTTAAAAAATGTGTGAAAATCATCAAAAAGAAAAAACATACAATTTTTTTTCTCTATAATACAATTGACATTTCTTATGGGTAGAATGTAACCTACTGCAGCACAGTTACTAAGGAAGCTAATTTTCTAACATTGAAGTAAAGTGAGGCCATATGATCATATGACCATATTATGAGGTAAGTAATGTTTCCCTTTGATAAAGGAGAAAATCTAAACATAGAGAGATCACCTGCCTCAAGTCATTCACTTATAAAATGGAAAAAAATCAACTTAAAATGTGAAATATAATTTCAGTCACTATGTCAAAGTCATCATTTTATGTATTCATAAATTATGATATTTTAGGTATCTGCAGATACTTATTAATAAGAGCTAATGTTAGCTCCCATTCCTACATTTAAGAGTCTAAATACTAATACCCCAAAATTTGTGTTTATTTGATGTTATATAATATAGTATGCAGTCAAAATGATTTTAATATTGTGAATGTGAATGCTATAGACATGATTAATGTTACTGTTCTAAATTATTAGAAAAATCATCAATAGTAGCTGTGAAAACACTAACAAATGCCTATTAGCACCTATAATGCTGTTTTCAAGTTCTGCTGGATATACAATCACGATAGAAACATTCCCCGCAAGCATGATAAAGTTTGCAAACTTACTCTGCAGCCTGCGTGTCGGGCTCCCCCCATGGAGCTGTCTCCGTGGCAAATATGGAGAAGGGTGAGGGAGCGGCAACGAAGAGACGTCGTGGGTCTGGAGTTTGTACCAGTGAGGTTCGTCATCCAGCAGCGCGGTTTCCAGTTCTATCAGAATCTACAGACCGAAGACACAAAGACCTTGTCTCCCAATGATAAGACTTCTCTTCAGTAGTCTCATAACTTTTACATTATTACAGTGATGCTGTCTCAGCAAAACAAGGACATTCAACGGTGCCAAATTGTCAGCATGTTTTGACAGTAACTAAATGAGAAACACTTTTCCTTCCAAACTTTGTAGTGATTTTCTACTTTAAATGATGACATCTATTGTATATACCGTGATCAACCCATTAAGAAGATATCAATTTTGCCATGATATGAGTGGCATTCTTTACTTTTAAAATGTCTATGATAACTAATGTTTATATTTTATTTTCTAACTCAAAAGCATTTCTATTTATAGTTACTAGTAGAAAAATAACTTCATATTAATCAGTAAATGAGGAGAAATAATTAATTTAAAGTATCTATTAATAACCAACCATGTCACAGTATTCATCTTTATTATGTATAAAAATGACTACCTTTGCAGTATAGGACAGGATGTCAAAGCTACAAAAGGCTAACATGACCTCTCTCTGGGGTCAGATCAGCTTGCTGTCTTCCTTAAGCCTTATGTACACTGAACCGTCCAGCGGACAATTCCAAACCAACACGTCACACCACTAGTCCCCTAATAATGTTCAACTGCTATATATCATTCAGAAAGAAACAGGAAAAGTCAAGAAAGGATACTTAACATATACCATATGACCACATGATGATGTAATTTGAATTTTTTTTAATAAAAGAAATCAGTCTGTATAAATGAGTTTTCCTTCATGGGGCTTTGCAACAGTGAGCAGATTTGTTGTTCATGGTACACGTGAGTGTTCACGCACATTAAGTGGATAAACAGCTCTGTCACAGCAATATTGAGCTACAGCAAACAAGCAAAAGCTGTTACCTCACTGTGTCTAAATGTGCCCTGTACATTCAATAGTAGAGGCACTATGCTACGCGAGGCAACTTGGCCTTACTAACGCTCCTACTAAACGGGAACTGCATACTAGTGTTATTTACACGTGGCCAAACAGGAAATTGAAGCAGGTGAAGATCAATTTGTTGAACAGAAGACAAGGAAGTGATTGTGCCAGAAATAGGCAAGGCCCATTGGTCTCAAGAACTGCATGGCCCCTCTCTCCAAATGATTCATAGCTTTGTAACTTTGTGCATGTTTGTTTCGAGATGAGGTTTCTGTGTAGCTCTGGCTGTTCTGGAACTAGCTCTGCAGATTGGCCTGCCTGTGCCTCCGGAGTGCTGGGATTAAAGGCATGTACCACCACTGCCTGGCAAGTGACATAATTCAGTCCATATTTCTATGTCCTTCCTTTCATCTAATCAGGAAAACTAGGTAAAATAAACAAATTGAAGCGAATAATGGATTGTTCTCACTATTACATGCGAATGGCTAGAAACCACGCCTCCTAAGCCTCTGGAATTTGCTCTCCACATTACAACTGTAAATATTTTTCTCAATTTAGGCAATCTTTGTTCTCATTATTCAGGGGATTAATATAGGGACTATGTTCTGTGTCCTTTTAACCTTGAGGTTTCATTTCTTATCACTTCCTCAGCGAATTTGAGACAGGAACCTAAACTCTATAAGCCTGAGGCCTTGCTACTCTCACTTTAACTTCTGTTCTTCATTGGCGCTTCCTTTGGCTGTTTCAGCACAGCACAGAATTATACTCTACTACACACTCAATATCATAGCAATACCTGAATCTACAACGAGGTGTAAACTCTTGAAGTAGGCCTGTAGAAACTGTCTGATACATTAATGGCTTACAAAGTAATCCATGAATAAACAAATAGCTGGCCCAATAAAATAACAAGAAGTAGAAAACACTAAATGAGATAATAACTCTATCAAGTGTAATTCAAACCTTTGTCATCATACACTACAGTCCCCCACCCTGCCTATGTTAATGGGGTTTTCCTTGTTGGTTTTGCTATTAGTTTTGGTTTGAGACAGAGCCTCACTGGGATGCCCACACTGCACTTGAATTCCTGGGTCAAATGTATCAGTTTCCTAGTAGCTGGGATCACAGGCACACGTTACCACTTACACACCCAGTTTTACTAAGAGTTTTAAGAACATTGCTTTCTTTGATGCCGCTAAGGTTTATCTTAAAGCAGCAAATTCATTCTGCAAATAAACAAACAAACTATGCATATATTTTTCAGACATTTATATTCCTAAGCATTCCAATGACAGTCCTTTAGCAACAGAATGGTCCAAGAAGGTTCAACTTTAACTACTTCCAGGTACCTCTCCTAAGAATTCACTCTCTTCTTCCCGAACCCTAGCTTGGTCCCAAAGGGTGATCTCCAGCATCCGCTCCCGGAACTCTCTTCGGTGGACAGGAGAGTAAATGAAGGTCTGGTTCCATTTTGGTTCCAGTGTTTTCTTCACTGTCTTTGTTCTTCTCTTGTTTTTATCACTATTTTAATAAAAAGAAAGTATGCACGCTTACATAAAAAGAATTCACTCTAAATTCTATCCATTTAAAATTGCTCAAGTGAAATCATATATTTGTCATCTGACAGTTAATGTAAACTTTTACTTATAGTTAGATTATGATACAATTGTATCATCTCTGTAACTTAGTATGAAAAACAGCTCAAATAAACCTTCTATTCACTTAAGCTACAAAGTTTAATTTTAAAAAAAAATATAGCAATGTTTACTTCATACACAAATAGCTTAGCTTAGCTAAAAACAATCATAGTACATTTTTTATGAAGTAACTCTATCTCAAATAAGAAATGCTATTAGATTATTTGACAAAAACAAAAGCATGTCTTTAAAGGTAAGGAACACGGTTTGTATGCAAGGAAGCCAGAGTAATATGTGACGGAAACAGGAGATAATCGTCTTGACCGACTGGACTCAGCGCTAGGAGGCTTTCACACTTACTTTGATGGATTAGCTTGAGTTAGAAAATACTTTTAAACTATGTCACTCATTAAATGCATACATTATAAATTACATTTGTAAATTACAAACATGTATTATAATAGCATTATGACATTAACTACATTAAAATATACTAATATAAAAAATAATGATGGGCAATGGGTAAGTGGACAATTAGCTCTAATTAGAACTGAAATCAGAAGGAGACTAGAAGAAAAAGTCTTAAGCTTAAGGGGAGAGAGAAAGGAAGAGCTGTCGCATAACTAAGGAACCTCTCTACGAGCAAAGAAGGAACGCTTCCTCAAGTCCCTCACAAACACAGCACACACAGCAGATCCTCTGCCAGCTCCACCTCCTCCTCCAAAAGAACTGTAATAAAAACCTGACTTTCAACAAAGTAAAGAGAAATGGGTTTTGCCTTTCTTCAAAGTGTAAATGAAGCCCTCAAAGTGAGCCACAGCGCTGAAGTCAAACAACACAAAGGGAGGAACTGTACTAAGTAAAGACTGATCTATGGAGGTATGTTTTAGCTAAAATAAACCCTTAATCTCTAAATTATTAAGAATACAATAAACATTTGCTCAAAAAAAATCTAACCAAAATTTATTTTCACAATAGTATTTTGCCTTCAGTTTAACTTAAAATAACAATCAAAAACTTGACATTTGCATTCAAATTCAAAAAAAAGAAATAAATATATTTGTGGCCATAACCAACAGTACTTCAAAATATTACTTTTATATAACATGGTACATTAAATATAAAGTAGTTTTCTGACTAACATAATTAAGATTTTAGAGCGGATATATCTTCTGTATCTCATGGACATTCTGGGAAACCTTAAACCAAATACCAATTGTTATTTTATATATTCAAGATTTCTTCCTGAAAAATTTTTCAGGAAAAATTAAATGAATTGTCTTATTCACGGGTAAAATTTGGGTCAAAGGAAAAGAGAAAAAAAGCTGACATGATAATGCAACTTTCTGAGTATTGCAAAAATTATTTTTCCTATTAGAGGTAAAATCCCAGAACAAACCATCCAACAACATAAGCTTGAAAACCTCACAAATCTTCTCAAACACTTAGTTATCAGACAAGTAAAGTGGTTGTGAAACATCCTGAAGAAAAAGTTCAGAGAGCTCTTACATTCTTTGAGGATACAAAAAGAAAGTTTAATAGTATCTGGAGATTTGAAAAAATGTGGACTCCAAAGTAGGTGACGCCATTAGGAGATGTGTTCTTGATGGAGGAGGTGTGTCACTGTGGGGGAGGGCTGTGAGGTCTCTTCTGTTCAAGCTTCCCTCAGTGTGACAGTCAACTTCCTGCTGCCTCTGAGTCAAGATGTAGCACTCTCATCTCCAGCACCACGTCTGCCTGCATGCCGCGAGGCTGCCTGCCATGATGAACCTCTGAAACTGTAAATGAGCTCCCACAATTCAATGTTTTCCTTTGTAAGAGTTGCTGGGATCATTGTGTCTCTTCACAGCAAGAGAAACCCTAACCAAGAAACCCTGTACCTGGGATACAAAGGGCAAGGTAAGGAGAAATGTTTTTATTTTAACCCCACTGCCTCAAAGAGCAAGGAAAATTGGGAAAAGTAAAACATAACTAAATAATAAAAGTCAATCAAGAAAAAGACATGATAAACTTTCAACACCATAATAATTACATGTGGAAAGGTACAGTCGAGACTCCACCTCCAAGAAAGCCCACCGAAAGGTGACCCCTCCCCATGACAAGAGGTGCAGAGGTCAAAGGTCGAGAAGAGTATGAGCACAACTAGTTTCAGTTCCAATTTTGTTTACTACACAATCTACTAAAATTTTTATTTAAAACAATAAATTTCAATAATTTTGAAACATATATTACTTAAGAAATACAATATGCAGAAGGCTTAAGCTAAATATTTAAATAAAATCACATATAGTAAATGCAAAGTTTTAAAATAATCTCAAATACTGTCATTTTTTGATACATCAGAATGATTGTATTTTTAAAATTTCACAGCTACCCAACAGCTATGACATGCACTACTGAATGACACAGGACCAGAACATTCTTTACTTTCCCACTTGTTTTTGAGAGCATATATGTTTTAACTTCAAATCCCTACCTTCTGTCTGGAAGAAAGTAAATTTTAACGTAAGGATTCCGTGGCCTCCCATCTTCCCTGGGAGGGAGGTCCTTTGCCCCCAGAATTGTGACTATCAACTGGTGACCAACCTTGTCAAACCATAGTTTTATCTGAAAAGAAAAAGCATTCATTATTAGCCCAAAATCTACTTCCAGTACATGTCAACATTTCCAATCTTTATAGCATTCTCTATTACTGATATAACTGAAATGTTAAGAGAAAACATTTTCCCCAATAAACTGAGATGTGTTAAAATAAAAGGATATACTATAATAGCTTCAATGAATAGATGGATTGATGCTGATGTTTTAGTTTCATTGATGAATTACTTGGGACTTTTATGATCTGGATGTGATGGCTTATTATTATATAATATTAATACTAGATTACATACTTTGTACACAATAACTCCTAACTCCATCTTTGCATAAGAAGCACTATGGTTTTGTTCACGAGTTGTAAATGAGTGTTCCAAATGCAGTGTGTGGACAGGAACAAGGAAATGGTATTTATTCAGAGGGAAGTTACAAGCAAATGTTTTGTGTCTCCATAGTAAAACACATTTCAAAGGATAGAAGAAGGCTTACTCGTAGCTTTAATAGATTCCTCAAGTTTATGTTTGAAATGGTAATAAATTCACCTTTTAAAGATTTTAGAGGCATAGTTCCTTCTTCAAGGAAGAAAATACTTAACATTCTTAAAATAGTAAAGTTTCACTTTAAAATTAAATGTGCATAATTCTGCTGCATTGTAACTAGGGATTGTCACTTCCAGTCATGCTGCCCGTGCATTCTCTTAAGAGCTGCCATCTCCCCGCACCTCACCCCTTCGCTCCTCACTCACTGAGCATTCTGTCTGCATCTGCATCAGAGATCCACATTACCTAGGATTCAGCATCTCCTACTGCCAGCTTAAAATTGAAATGGGACCAAAAATATGGAACTTGAGAATGACATATTTGAGTTACACATGAAGCACAGCAGTTCAGCTCCAACCCCACGGTGGCTTTGGCGGGTCCCTCTGTGTGTATTCCAGAGAGCCAAAGGCTGACTAGCTGTTGAGTCAGAAGAGGTGGATTGACAGCCTGAGATACAAAATTACTTCTGTTCTTGCCTTGTCAGGGTTAAATTGGATGAGTTCCGTTACAGGAGATTTAGCAAAAGATATTCAAATTTTAAAAGTAACTATTAGGAGTTTTCATGGTTTATTGTCTTGAATTTTAAAGTAGTTTTATCTTGCTATTGCATAACAAAATTTATCTACTACCTAAGAAGTTCAAAAATAGACCTTCAAGAAGATTTTCTTAAGCTGCATTTAATAAATATCTGGTAAGCACTCTTATCTGGCATATTAGAAAGTTACACATTTCTAGGCTAGCTATTCTCCTACAAACTAAAATGGGATCTTAGAATTTTAAGAATTGCAGCATTCACTCAAAGGATCAAGGACCACCACTCCCCTCAAAGGAAAACAGGTTTAGACTGTGGCAAACCTACAGACTAAGGCTAATCTGAGCTACAGAGCAAAGCCCATCTCAAACAAGGAGCGAAATGACCACAAACTGAAGAGGGAGGGGCTGGGGACTGACTCTTTTTGAAAAGAAAAAAGTTTTAAATTCGCATGCTGAGCAATATTAGCCTACAGATAGAGATAAGGATAACAAAAATAGAGAGGATAAGCTATTCTTTTCACAAAATCCAAGAGATAAAAATAAAGAAATTAGAATGTTTGGTTTTTCATGGGATGAAGGAAATGTCGAAAGTCTCAGAGTCTTCTAAAACCTGTGATGAAGGTCAGATTAATTTACATCATCTCCACTATCACCAACGACAGCAACTCTTACAAGTTTAATTTTTCCATAAATATTATCTTCAGATAATACAGAGCTAAACACTACCCTTTACCACTCTTTCTCACATAAACATACACTAGCTTTATTGTATAATACTGTTACCTAAATTATACTGTTCAAAAATATGAGTATTGCCACTATTTGATAAGAACCTATCCTAGTACGTCTGATCAAACTTGGACTGTTTCTGAAATTGTCTTGAGCTGGACTTACAAACAGCACTTACTTTCAGTTTCATTACAGAGGGAGCACTGGAGTTTTAAGAGATATCCAGGTCAGACTACTTTACTATCCATGCTATTTAACATATTCTTGAAGCTGTGTTTTAAAAATAATATTTAAAACTTAACTTATTTGTTCCCTAAAATACAACCTCATAATTCTATCCTTGACAAGCCTTAGTTCAATCCTTTAATAAAAATCTTGGTACTAATTTATTGTTTAATATGACTATCCTCTCAGCTCATCATTAAACCATTTAAATTCTTCACAACAGAAATTTAGCATCAAACATATTTTATGTTGTATGATATCTAATAGAATTAATATTTTAATTATTTAAAAGTATTATCTAAAGTCAACTTTTTTTAAAAAACATGCAACAAAGCAGGGAAGGCATACTACTACTTTGAAGATAACTATGTTGGCATTGCTATACCATATAAACAACATCCTAATGGAAAGAGGCAAACAGCTTGTACCCAAGTAGTACATAAAAGTAAATTAAATGATAAAATACTAACAAAATAACATATACACATCATTTGGATTGTGATTTTTTTGTTCTTTCAAACTCCAAAAGTAAACTCTTATATATCAAATGTAAAAAAAAAATTGTATTTTAAATAAGGTACAAATATATTTGCCAATCTCCTCAAGGAGCCATTGCTTGGAAAATGCAAGAGAAGTGGATGTGATGTGGTATATGGGTGATTTAAAGAGACAGCAACCTTTGTGTAATAAAGTAAAACATCTGGAGTTTTAAAATTTGCTATTTCAGTAAATGTTACAGAAATAAGCCAAATCTATACCAAAACACAATTGGAATGGAACTTTGAAACGTATACATTTGAGTACTTCAATAACTGCAAAATCACTAACAATGATTGTCTCTTTAAATTTGTACTTAATATTCTAATCTCCATGCAGAATTTTACAAGCTGTCTTAGAAAATGATTTGAGAGTCAATAGTATGGTTTGGAGCAACATACCAAAAGAAGTGTTCCTACTACGCATTTTCCAAAAACATACAAATAAGGGATAAAACACACTTTAGCTTCTATCAGGCAGACAAAGCCTTTACCTGAACCCTAGGAACAAAAGGCGATGTTCTTCTACTAAGGCTTTGGCTCTGGTAAGCAAAATTAAAGAAAAAAGCAATAAAACAAAACCAAAAAGGACAATATGCTGGAACCAAAAGACTAAAAGTAAAAATGAACACATAAAACTCTCCCTTAAATACAATGTTTCCATGACAATATTTTAATTTAATCACTTTATTATAAAAAATAAATATTTCCCAATGCTAAAATATATGAAAACTATTCAAAACATGATAAATATCATAATTTGTTAAACCATATTCTTAAAACATAGTCAGTATAATAGGAATTAAGACTGAATATACAAGATAATATAATTTTAAAGAATGATTAAAGTATAACCCCAAATCAAGAAAACTGAAACTTTACCCTTAAACACACTACAGCCTGTGTCATCCATGGGTGACTAGTCCCAGGCTACCCACAAACACCAAATCTACCGATGTTTTAATAAATTCTTTATTTAAAAAAATGGCATAGGAAATGCACAAAACTAACAGGATCTCTGTGCCTTCAATCCTCTCTAGACTGTAAGTAATAATTTATAATAACAAATATAATGGAAATACTACAAGTTTTTGGTGCATTATTATTTAAGAAACAATTACAATATTAAAGTTAAATTAAATATTAGCTGTTCACAGAGACAAGTTTTTTTTTTAAATCGATTCATAATTGTGTGAGTGTCTGGACATGAAACCTACTAAAGCGGAATTATAACTGCACATAGACCCAAGCACAGCTCAGCATGAAGGAGAGAACAGGATGAGCTGCTGGCTGGAGACACTATTAACTGTGGTCACCGCTACTAACAACACTATTTCAGGGTTTAGTAGTTACAAAGCTCTTTATGTTTCAAGGAAGTTTATGGCATGTGCATTGCCTTCTGATAGTGCCATCAGCTCTGGGAGCTCACTGTTCTGATCCCCAGTATACAAGTGAAGAGAAATACCTAAAAAGGTCTAGATGCGCTTCTAAGTGTTCACAGGGTGAAAGGGTATAAACAAAGTTCTCAGAAAAATAAAAATAAAAAACAACAAACTTCTTTCCTGAATTTCTTAATCTTTTATTTTAAAACGATTTCCAGTAATTGAAAAAAATCATAGATCAAAAATAAAATCAGAGACCCACAAGAGAATGAATTTAGGGCCATTGACTTCTGCTTCCCTCAACAAGATCCCATGGCCTTGTGGCATGTGTTAGGATAGTCAAGGGCTGGTGCCTCCTTCTCTCCCACTGTAGGGAAACGGGTGTAAATGAAGGGAGGGCTTTGGCCCAGGTACAGGATCACTGGACAGGATCCCTGGACAGGCATGATACTTAAGTAAGAAACAACCCTAACCCCCAAAGGAGAACAGCCTTCATGGCATGTTATTGGCCACCAGGAATCACCTTTTTTTTTCTCTCCAAAAAACCAAGTATTAAGTCTGAGCTTTCTTCCTTTCCAAGTGGAGAGAGGCCCAAAGCGGAAGTGCACAGACACAGAACGTGGCGGGTATCTGTCTGCTGACAAGTGGAGAGAGGCCCACAGAGGAAGTGCGCAGACACAGAACGTGATGGAGTATCTGTCTGCTGAGAGCTACATGGACAGAGTAAGTAGGGGAAGCAGGGTGTGGAGTTCCCATAGATTAACTAGATGTGCCAAAGGGTAAAGGAATATAGAGATTTCATTTTCCTTGACCCCATCTATATATGTTTTAAATAAAATATGTCAAAGAAAAGAAAATATTTTATAAACACATATTACTTCACATAATAAAAGGTCTATTTTAAAAATTTTTTTAAAAAAATCAACCATTTTTCTTTATCTAAAATAAGCAGTAGGGCTGGAGAGATGGCTCAGTGGTTAAGAGCACTGCCTGCTCTTCCAAAGGTCCTGAGTTCAATTCCCAGCAACCACGTGGTGGCTCACAGCCATCTGTAATGAGATCTGGTGCCCTCTTCTGGCCTGCAGAATGCATATTGAGAATACTGTATACTTAAGAAATAAATAAATCTTAAAAAAATAAAAATAAAATAAAATAAGCAGTTATCAGATTTCGAAAATCAACATTTTTCATTTAATCCTTATGTTTACCCACATGCTTATACATTAAAGATGACTACAAAATATATTTGTTCTTAGGTGGAATTTTTTAATGGATCAAAACGGACAAAATATACAACTAACCATGTAAGGCTAAAAGTTGAGGAGCAATTACCGCACTGGAAAGCTGTGAAATTCTCATTTTCCATCTGTCAACCTTTGGCGTTACCGCAGTTACACTGCACGCCCTGCAGTCCTTCTGCTTCTCACCACTGCTGCCATCTAGGCTACAGACGCTAAGGACTGGGCGCAGGAAAGATGATGCTCTGGGCTACATTGTAACTGCTCAGGCTTCACACAAATGAAGAACAGAAACTTTACACCATAATCTAAGTGTGGATGTCCAGTGTCCCCTTCACTGTCCCTTCTAATATGATCCTTAGGACATTCTTTTCACGCAATACATCTAGACTGTTAAAGTTATGAGAGTAAAGTATTAAAACATCAAAGTCCAAATATAGAACTTGCAAGGGGTGGTAGGCCACACCTTTAATTCCAGCACAGAACAGAAAGGCAGGGGCAGGAGTTTCTGTTAGTTTTAGCCCAGCCTGGAAAAAAATAGCCATGTTTCAGGCCATTAGGGACTACATAGTGATACACTGTCCAAAAAATAAAAAAAATAAAATGGAAAGAAAAGGAAAAGGAAGGGAAGGGAAGGGAGGAACCAATAACTTCATAAATACAATGTTTTTAATTGTTCTGAAATTCCATAAAGGGACATATGAAAGACATGCAATTAATCTAAAATTACTCAAATTTCTAAAATGGACAAATAAAATTGATATTTATAATATTTAGTAAAAATAAATTTCAAGCATGTTATAATAAAGTAACTTTACATCTATAAATCAATCGCAGTCAGTATAATAAAAATGTGATTAACATTAGAATCAATAGTATAAAGTGTTTCTATAGAAAAAAATAATAATTCTGAATCTTTCTCACCTGGAAAAAAAATAAGAAATATTTTAGTCTAACAGCCTATCAAACTACTAGCCTAATCGTGTAAACTATTATTGAGATGCACAATTACTAAGAACCACAAAAGCTGCCTCCCAAATGAAGAAGCTGCTAACTTAAAAAGGGTTGAGACGAGGAAGTGCTGCTGCTGAACGGCTAACATGGGGCTCAGGGGGAAAAAACTTGACTGGGCTCATTCTGACTTCTCATTGAATACATTAATGGTCCTTTATGGGAAAGTCCTAGAATAATTAATCACAGGATTTAGCATGGGGAGAAAATCAATTACACATATCTTTGAAAAATTAATCAACATCTTTGAATATAAAAATGCAAATAAGAAATGCCTATTATGTGTTTTCCACTTGAAAACGTATCAGCAAATGAAATCACCTCAAATACGCACAAATAATTTCTCTTCTCAGGTGTTAGCAAGGTCATGACTTTGTGAGGAGTGGAGCCAAATTTCTCTAATGCAAAAATGTTCAAAGGCAGAAGAAAGTGGGGATGAAACTGTGCTGGTTAAGGCCTGTCTGTGGGGATGACCTCGATCACACTAGATGAGGAGGGGAACCATCTCAATTATAGGTGAGGCGTTCCTAGGTCAAGGTCAGGTCCCAGGCCACTTAGGATGGAGAAAGGGATCGGAGGTCTAACACTAAGGATGGAGAAAGGGATCGGAGGTCTAACGCTTAGGATGGAGAAAGG